AGAGAGAGAGAGAGAGAAGAAGAGACCGAGAGAAGAGAGAGAGGAGAGCGGAGAGAGAGACGAACGGATGATGATGAGAGAGAGAGAGAGAGAGAGAGAGAGCTGCCCCAGCAGCAACAATAACAACAGTCTCTGTGAAAACCTCCTCACAGTCTGAAGACACCGCTTTGAAACATTACAAAGAGCTTTCAGTCTGTGACAGTCCAGGTAGCAGAGAGGGATTGTCTCTTTGTCAGGGAGAGAGAGACTGACTAACAAAGAGACAGAGGACATGATGTCATAAACAATGTCACTGATGGGCTTACCTGAGCAGGTGAGATTCAGGAAGTAGGGAAAGGAAGCTGATGCTGCACACTCCCTCAGAGGAGATCCAGACTGAACACAGCGAGAGCTGATGTACCACACAGGTCTCTGTGAGGACTCATATCTCTTTCCCACAGAAACAGCATAGCCACAGTCGAGCTCTCTGCAGAGAACTCCTGCTGCCTTCAGGGTCCAGGGAGGGAAGCCCTCCACTGGTCTCCATTCTCCCTCATGTTCCACCTCCAGTTCTCCTGCGCAGCGACTCTCTCCTCCCACCAGCTGAACACCACCAGACTCTGAAGAGAAACAAGAGAGTGATCAGAGAGAGAATAAAGTGAGTTTGATGAGAACAGAATGAACCAATCAGAGCTCCTCTCTACCTGAGCAGGTGAGGCTAACAGCTGTGCCAGGTGAGCAGGTGTTTCTCTCTGAGGCTGAGCTACAGTCCAGGAGAGCAGACTCATGGCCTCCACACTGGAACTCTTTGGTCCACTTTGGAGCCTCCCCTTCTCCATAGAGCGCCCCCTGGAGGACTGAAGGAGACCCACAGCCCAGCTGCCGGCAGACCACCTGAGCATCCTGCTGGTCAAAGTCAGCCTCACACACTGAGGACCAGGACGGGTTAGACTGGTTAGACTGGTCAGAGTTCACCTCCAGTCTGCCTGAGCACAGACCAGTCCCCCCCAGCAGCCTGACAGAGTCTGCAGAGGACAGAAGATCAAACAGAGGTCAAAGACACACCATCAAAGAGATGAAACAATATTTCAGAGATTCAAACTGGACTCAGTTCCAACATGAGTTGATGATGAACAACAGAACACATGTTTATAAGAACACAGACTGCAGGTACCCTCACATCTACATCTGATACCCTCTAGCAAGTGGTCTCCATTAGTGAACCCTTTCCCTGTGTCTTCAACAAAACATCCTCCTCTGCAGATGAGCACAGTAACGGTAAGGTATCTAATTACTTATTTATTTAGTATTCCATAACTTAATAACAGAGATGGTCAAATTAAAGTGGTAGAGACATGGGGGTAGTGGTGGTCTAATGGATAGTGAGGTGGGCTGAAGATCGGAAGGTTGTGAGTTCAAATCCCACCTGGAACACCACCACTAGTGTGCCCTTGAGTAAGGCACTTAGCCCTCAGTTACTCCAGGGAGGATGTCCCTGTAATTGGTAATTGTAAGTCGCATTGGATAAAAGCGTCAGCTAAATGTAATGTAACATGGCAGAAATCCTACAATGCAGCGGGACAGTGAAGTGTTCTCCTGTGAGAGGGCGATCAAGAAAAGAGAGCGAGCGGCGCGTTGAGGGAGTTTACCATGGATGTTTAATAGGAGTTCACGGAGCAGATGGAAAGACACAGAAAGACAGAAGCACAATAACAAGTATATGTAGTTGTTTCTTTGTAAATAACCGACGGTGTCAAGAGGAAGTAAAGTCCCTGCCATGACAAAACTCAAAATCCATTTTCCAAAATCCGACACTAGAGGTGGTCTTAACGCACCGGCACCAATACAGAAGCCTATAATAAATATTATATATATAATACGTAACATGTGTAATCACACACTTAGCGATATAGAACATAAATAATAAAAACGTAGGCCTACCTGGTTTAAAACACTTTTGTGGTCATACTGTGTGGAATGAGTTCACACTGAAACGAGTTCTTCATTCAACATTTCGCGGACAATTACATGTAAGAAGAAGGAGAAGAAGAAGAAGTAAAAGAAGTAGTAGAAGAAGAATGAAGCTGGTGTGTTTCCCGCAGCGAGACACTACAATACTAATTGTGGGCTTATCATGTTGATTCGATCACAACAGAGAAAAAGAAAACCTCTCGCTCTCTCCAGAGGGGCATGTCAGCCAAAAAGGGGAAACGGGCCGCTGCCCGGGCAACATTAGCCCGTACCTGTGCACGTCCCTGGGGACTCAACATAATGTTTCAAAAAAAGGTTTTATTATTTCTCACCTATCTAATAGAATCTGATCCTAGAATAAAAATCCCATTAGAAAATGAATTCTAAAAGATGAAAGCCAAAGGAGCCGGACTCTGCTCTGAAGGAGCTTCTCGGGGTGAAGGACGCCTCGAGGAGCCCCGGCTGAGCTGATCAAAGCTGTGTCCAGGAGGTCTTGGTGCTGTTATGGTGGAACCCAAAGAACCTGCTGCTGGAAACCAGAGGCTCAGAGAGAGGTGGAGCTGAAGCAGGAGTCCTTTCAGACTGGTTGTCCCAGGGGACTCCTGAGGCAGCAGACACACATGTCTCCATCCACACAAATATGTTTCAATGCAAACACAAATACTTAGCATTTTGTAAAAATATAAAATAGTTTCACAAATATATTTCTGATCCACACACAAATAGATACTGTTTTAAATAAATGCAATATAAATCCACAAATATATGACTTTAAAAGTGTTAAATGTTGTGCATCAATAACATATTTGATGTTGTTACATTTCTATAAAAAACGCTTTTGTGAGTGGATTTCTGAGACACCCTGAGGCCGCAAGATTCATAAATGCATTTTTTCAAGATGGGAGTTTCTGTAGCCAATCAGATGTCTGCATCATGGCCTAACACAAGTGTTCTTAATGCACAAGAGAAACAAGGTGTTCAGACAAACTAACATATAGTATAAAACAGCAGAAAGTACTCATGATACCCTAGAATTCTGTTTACTGTAAGTACAGTCAAAGTACTTAGTTATAATTAAGTACACAAATGACATCACCCATCTCTTAACCCTCCTGTTGTCTTCGGGTCAAATCTGACCGATTTACTACTTTCATCAATCATAACTTTTTTGTTTTACATTCGATTGCATTAAGGCTTTATGATATCCTTCACAGTAGACATTTGAACATATCAAATTGCTGATTTACCCCCTGTAAAAACCGCAACATCAGTGGATGAGAGAAGGCTGACCTGCCGTTGAATCCCTCATGACAGGACGAGATGGCTGCTGCATACACTTTCACTGTGGAATGAGCAAGCCCTCTGTCCACCAGTAACTGAAAGAAGGATAAAATAGAGCCCAACTCACAAGATAGGGGCTCTATTCCCCGCTACTCACACCAATGCTGGAATCTCAGCCACCTTGGCCTGTAACAGGCTGTGGTGGATTCTGCTCTAGCTGCCTGGATAGACTGAATAACGCTGTCAGACAATCCACCCTGTCTCAGCCTGTCCCTCTCAGGAGCCAAGCCTGAAGAGGACGGCCCAGAGTGGGTAACGCCCCGATTGCACCTGCCTCTTGAGACATCGCCCCCCAGAACTGGGGGATCGCCCAGGGCTGGCCCACCTTCATCTGTGTCATTTCTGAGTACCACGGAGCCCCGACGCGATCCGGTGCCACCAGAATGACTGCCAGACGTTCTCGCCTCACTCTCCCCACGTATTAACGCTGTATTTCCCATTCAACGGTGAAATGCATTAATCGGAGCTATTATACCAGGCAAGGTGTGTTTTCTGACAACAACACGCCGGCAATAGCGTCTCTTGAACCCGCACAGTGCTTTGACAGCACTCGGTTTATCCCATTCACGTGCACATACCCACCTGCTGGCTCCCTATACTGGGGTTTACAGCAGAGGCGGGGAGTGTATGACAGTGTTTCTTCCTCTGGGGATGGGCAAGAAGCAGCCACGCTGCGATTACTCCTTATCCCGTGAGCAAGGAGATCGATCCAAAGAGCCCTTCCGTAAACACGGGGGCTCCCAGGAGATCAACACGGTCCTCTTTGGAAAGTGCCATGCGGATCCTGGACATGACATGGGCTGGTGTCGACTAGACCCCCAACGGAACAGGACACAGAGTTGGCAGGACCCCCGGTGGAACAGGTGTCGGCGGGACCTCCAACAGGACAGGACACAGAGTTGGCAGGGCCCCCGGCGGAACAAGTGTCGGCGGGACCCCCAACAGGACAGGATACAGAGTTGGCAGGACCCCCGGGAGAACAGGTGTCGGCGGGACCTCCAACAGGACAGGACACAGAGTTGGCAGGACCCCCGGCAGGACAGGTGTCGGCTGGACCCCCAACGGAACAGAACATGGAGCTGGCAGGACCCCCGGCGTAGCACGTGTCGGCGGAACCCCCAACAGGACAGGATCTGGTGTTGGCAGGAAACCCGGCGGAGCAGCTGTCGGCGGAACCCCCAACAGGACAGGATCTGGTGTTGGCAGGAAATCCAGCGGAGCAGTAGTTGGCGGGACCCCCAACGGGACAGGACATGGGGTTGGCAGGACCCCCAACGATACTGGATGTGGAGTTGGCAGGACCCCCGGCAGAACAGTAGTCGGCGGAACCTCCAACGGCACAGGACATAGGGTTGGCAGGACCCCCGGCAGAAGAGTAGTCGGCGGGACTCCCAACGGGACAGGACATAGGGTTGGCAGGACCCCCGGCAGAAGAGTAGTCGGCGGGACTCCCAACGGGACAGGACATAGGGTTGGCAGGACCCCCGGCAGAACAGTAGTCGGCGGAACCTCCAACGGCACAGGACATAGGGTTGGCAGGACCCCCGGCAGAAGAGTAGTCGGCGGGACTCCCAACGGGACAGGACATAGGGTTGGCAGGACCCCCAGCAGAACAGTAGTCGGCGGGACCTCCAACGGCACAGGACATAGGGTAGGGACTTGAGAGGGGACTCGAGAGGTGACTGGAAAGGGGACTTGAGAGGGAACTCGAGAGGAGACTCGAGAGGGGACTCGAGAGGGGACTCGAGAAGGGACTCGAGATGGGACTTGAGAGGGGACTTGTGTCGCGTTGTACGCCGACAGGACACGGGGAGCTGGAGTCGGCCGGAACGCCGACAGGACACGGGGAGCTGGCGTCGGCTGGAGAGCCAACAGGAGACGAGGTGCTGAAGTCGGCCGGTACGTCGACAGGACACGGGGAGCTGGAGTGGGCCGGACCACCGACAGGACACGAGGGGCTGGAGTGGGCCGAACCACTGACATAACACGGTGGGCTGGCGTCGGCCGGGGAGCCAGTACTGGAGCCGAAACTGGAGCCGGAACCATGGCTGCTGGGGCCGGAACTGGGGCCGGAACCATGGCTGCTGGGGCCAGGACTGAGGCTGGAACCATGGCTGTGTGGGCCGGTTCCTGGAGCCGGAACCATGGCTGTGTGGGCCGGTACTGGAGCAGGCACCATGGCTGCTGGGCATGGAACCGGAACACGGAACCATGGCTGTGTGGGATGGTACTGGAGAACGGTACCATGACTGTGTGGGCCGGCACTGGAGCACGGAAACATGACTGTAAGGTCCGGTTCTGGCCATGGCTGCTGGGCACGGAACAGAAGCCTGGACCCTGGCTGTGTGAGCCAGGTAATGGAGCACGGAAGCATGGCTGTGTGGGCCGGTACTGGTGCACGGATCCATGGCTGTGTGAGCCGGTACTGGATTACGAGCTGGCTTCCTGACCTTGCGTTTCTTTGAGGTCTTTTGGAGGCTCCGTGGACCTCCAAACGCCAGGCGGGATCCCAAAAAAGGGTCAGAGAATGGAGACTGGCACTCAGGGCTACGCGAAAAAACTCTGAGAAATTCAGGCAACGAGCTCCTCAGCCATGGCACGTTATCCACCTCCATTTGTGCTTTTTTGAGGACAGCCTCTTTCTCCCTTCTAGTCGAGGTTCTACTCCACTCAGCATACAGTAAAGACATCGAAGGGAGTAATCCAGAGAGAGCAAATCAAAATCAAAATCAAAATCATAATCCGCTGGGTCCATAATTGGTCGGTTCATTCTGTTAGGTTGCGTGGAAAGGGTAGGACCCAAATGCAGACTACAAAAAAGGTAAAAAGGTCTAGAAACAAAAAGCGAGCTTTATTTTAAAAGCTGAACAAAAACATGGCATGAAACACATAGGTAGCACAAAAACTGACCGTGACCAACATGGAGGGAGACAGGAGAGACAATGAACCGACAAGGCACACAGGGGAAGACAAGACTAAATACAGAGAGGAGTAATCACTAGTGATGTTATGTATTGCGCCGAGGCTTCGGAGCATGTGTCGAGTAATCCCCGAAGCTCTTTGTGAAGCATGTATCGAGGCTTGTATCGTTTTGGGCCAGTGACGTCATCGATGACAAACGAAGCCTCGCTGCCTGTCGATACCACGTGACTGCTTCAGAAAGCGATTCAGATCGGTTGAACCGTTGAACCACAACGCTCATAATACCCATGGATGTATAATAAGAACCATATTACCCCTCATGTACCCGGGCCCGGTGGTGACACGATGGAATTAAAAGAGCTCAGACCCTCACTTATATAGAGGTCGGAACATGTCATAAGTATAAATAGATACAAGCATAAATAAATGTAGGAACATGAATAAATACAGGAATAAATACGATGGAGTGTTTTCAAGGAGATTCAGTGTGCGGGCTGTGGCTCAGCTGGAAAGCAATTGACTCACGACCCCAGGGTCCCTGGTTCAACGACTGAACAATACGTCTTTTTTGTTGTTTATAAAAGCTACAGCTAAATGAGATAATGTAGTTAATAAATGTATTCTTTGATATGGTTTAGCCTTTCTCAGGCTACAACATGGTTACGTTTATGAATATTATTAAGGAATACAAATCCCTCTTTGCAATGTTTACCAGCCTCCTTAGGCTTTTCAATCACAATCATTCAACTGGAATAAAAACAATATTGTTAACATGAAAATATAATTGTATGTTCGTTGTTAAGAGTTATTCTAAGGCTTTACTCATTGGGAACTCGGTATGAGATATAGTACACTATTGAGATGTCAAATCTGCTTGTTTTACACACTTTGACCAACAGGGGGGTTTGTGTTCAAATGAAGCCCATGATGAAGCCTCATGAGATGAACCCTTTTGCGAACCAATTGGCTGGAAAGCTTCAAAGCTTCATAAGGCTTCATCTCGCCATCACTAGTAATCACAAGACAAGACACAGCTGGGGTAAGGGAGGCAGAAACACAAGGGCAACAGGTGAACACAATCAGACAATCAGACACACCAGGGAAACTAACGACAGGAAGGCAAACACAGGAAGAAGGATCAGACAAGACACAAGGAGGAAAACATTTCAAAACAAAGGTGGAAAATTAAAACATAAATTCAAAACCGTAACAGAAACTCTCTCATACAATAATACAATACAAAGTGTGTGTGTGTGTGTGTGTGTGTGTGTGTGTGTGTGTGTGTGTGTGTGTGTGTGTGTGTGTGTGTGTGTGTGTGTGTGGACACTGTGATGGATCGTTGGAGCTATGTGCAGCTCAAGGCTATATGCTCGAATGGGAGCTGCCTGGACGCTGCAATCATGTTGAGTGTGCTGACTTTTCGTACAATGTCCCACTGTCTGGCTACCTGCATAAAGTGCTCGGCTCAGTTGTCGGCGAAATGTCGCTCCTCTGTTTTCATTGAAACAGCTCCTTATATTCGTTAGCGCAGCTAGCTAGCACCAGATGCTAACAACAACAACACGTAAAGGCCCTGACACACCAGGCAGTCACCAGAGAACTCGCCGACATCCGACACCGACAGATCCATCGACGAGTTCTCCTGCGACTTGGCCGTGTGTCGCACTGAAATACACCGCTTTACTTCAGCCGAGCACGTACGAACTGCGCATGCGTGAGTGGCAATAAGTGTCCTTATCAGCAGGCGGTGGTAGTGTGTATTCGTCATTCAAAATAGGCAACAACCGGAAGACAGAGAAGAAGAACAGACTGATATAAACAAACAAATAGCGTCTGCGTTCCATTTTCACTCTCGTCCATCGAAAACATGTTTTAGAATATAAAAATACATGAATGATGAAATGAGCACATAAAGTGCAGACATACTATAAAATCACAGTTAATAGACCTGCATCTGATGATCGCAGTGTTCTGGCGGGTGTGTAGTTTATTGAGTCAGCAATGTAATAATGGCCACTTCTTGCTAAATTTACGATGAGATGAAAAACCGGACTTGACCAAACAAATCACGGAGCTCTCAGCAGAGGACAGCCGGGGACGCTCCCGCCGATATCAGAGATGTCCCTGCTATGTGTGGGAGGTAAGAGAGGACATTTAAGCGCTATGTTTGATGTCTTTAAGTATCACCTGCTGGTGTTTAGCTGCTGTCCTGTGCCTTAAATCGTTTGTTTACGTCCCTCACTTCCGTTTCGCTTCTCATTTGCAAGCTGAACAGCTGATCAGAGTGGTTTCTTGGCCCGATAGCTTGTTTCCGACACCCGGCCGATTCAACATGTTGAATCGGCCGGGTGTCGACCGTGAAAGGCCAAATAAGGCGTGTCACGGCCGAGGGTTCGGGACACACCAAATTGACTTTGGGCGACAAGGAACCCGTTTTCGCCCAACAACGCAAGACGGCCGATATCGGCCTGGTGTGTAGGGGCCTTAAGGTGTGCCTCGCTCGCGCCACACATACACACACCCTCCCGGTCCTCCCGATGGCCAGTCCGGGCCTGCCGGTGAGCGTGGAAGTGTGGTCTGCCACAAGCGGGCGGCAGGAGCGGGGCTGTCAGCATCAGCTTGTAGATGGTATTTTAAACTCGATGCGCTCTGAAACTACGGGGCGGCCGAGGACAAAAAATACACATGCGTTAATCGCGTTAAAATAATTAGTGGCGTTACATTTATTAACGCGTTAACGCAAAAAAAAAAAAACCTTGACAGCCATATATATATATATATATATCAATAATATGTAAACATTTGAAATGTATGTTTATGTTGTTAATTATTTTGTATTTTGATGCTTTGGCAACATTGTTTCGTTTAACTTTCATTCCAATAAAGAGAGAGAGAGAGAGAGAGAGAGAAAGAGAGAAGAGAGAGAGAGAGAGAGAGAGAGAGAGAGAGAGAGAGAGAGAGAGAGAGAGAGAGAGAGAGAGAGAGAGAGAGAGAGAGAGAGAGAGAGAGAGAGAGAGAGAGAGAGAGAGAGAGAGAGAGAGAGAGAGCTGCCCCAGCAGCAACAATAACAACAGTCTCTGTGAAAACCTCCTCTCAGTCTGAAGACACCGCTTTGAAGACATTACAAAGAGCTTTCAGTCTGTGACAGTCCAGGTAGCAGAGAGGGATTGTCTCTTTGTCAGAGAGAGAGAGACTGACTAACAAAGAGACAGAGGACATGATGTCATAAACAATGTCACTGATGGGCTTACCTGAGCAGGTGAGATTCAGGAAGTAGAGAGAGGAATATGATGCTGCACACTCCCTCAGAGCAGATCCAGACTGAACACAGTCAGAGTCGATCCTCCACACAGGTCTCCTTGAGGACTCCTTTCTCCGTCCCACAGAAACAGCAGAGCCACAGTCGAGCTCTCTGCAGAGAACAGCTGCTGTCTTCAGGTTCCAGCGAGAGAGAAAGCCCTCCACTGGTCTCCATTCTCCCTCATGTTCCACCTCCAGTTCTCCTGCACAGCGACTCTCTCCTCCCACCAGCTGAACACCACCGGGCTCTGAAGAGAAACAAGAGAGTGATCAGAGAGAGAATAAAGTGAGTTTGATGATAACAGAATGAACCGATCAGAGCTCCTCTCTACCTGAGCAGGTGAGGCTAACAGATGTGCCAGGTGAGCAGGTGTTTCTCTCTGAGGCTGAGCTACAGTCCAGGAGAGCAGACTCATGGCCTCCACACTGGAACTCTTTGGTCCACATTGGAGCCTCCCCTTCTCCATAGAGCGCCCCCTGGAGGACTGAAGGAGCCCCACAGCCCAGCTGCCGGCAGACCACCTGAGCATCCTGCTGGTCAAAGTCAGCCTCACACACTGAGGACCAGGACTGGTTAGACTGGTCAGACTTCACCTCCAGTCTGCCTGAGCACAGACCAGTCCCCCCCAGCAGCCTGACAGAGTCTGCAGAGGACAGAAGATCAAACAGAGGTCAAAGACACACCATCAAAGAGATGAAACAATATTTCAGAGATTCAAACTGGACTCAGTTCCAACATGAGTTGATGATGAACAACAGAACACATGTTTATAAGAACACAGACTGCAGGTACCCTCACATCTACATCTGATACCCTCTAGCAAGTGGTCTCCATTAGTGAACCTGTCGTGGCTTCCTTCCTTGTCTTTCCATCAAGCCACTAGATGCCTTAAACAGACAGTTCTAACTCGTTTCTTTCCTTTAAATTACTCACAGTTTGAAGTGTTGATTGGCCTCCGATGGTTTAGATGATGTTGCGATGTGTTTGCTCAAAATAAAATAACAAACTTTTGCACATGCAACAAAGACAATAGGCCTTTACAATATTCAAAAGAAATAGGCCAAACTCAAATAAAATAACAAACAACTTAGGTATTCTTTCTTTCTTGATAATGCTTATAACTTCATAACTTAAAGGGTAATTGTACGATTTGTATGTACGTGTACGTGTACGTGTACGGTTAACAACTTCCTCAACGGCGTCTCTCAACAGGTTGCCCATAAATGTGGCTTTAGCACAGGCGCCGTGGGAATTGTAGTCCTTTATAGTGCGTTGACTACAGACGTCACAATTAGGTGGCCTTTCTTATCAAATCAAAATACTGGCTCTAACATACCGGCCCCTATTGTTATGGGCATCTTTAATAACAATAAACAAAAATTCAAAAAGAGCCAGACAAAGTCAGTTTTCATATTCTATTTGAGATAGACAGGGTGTCTTAATTGTCCATCTTCAGTTATTTCCTTATTCTAAGGCAGGCACCAGTAGGCATATTTTGCTTATTGGTCTTTCCAGCGTGTTGGTTTTTGTCTTAAGAAGAACACTCCGAATCAGTCCTCCAGATCCAGGACGCGTCTCCATAACTCTTGCCATTAACCAGGATCCACGAGGTGTATTTGAATCCATGATTATTACGATGTCTCCAGGTTTGAAGTTCCTTTTAATGCGATTCCATTGCTGTCTTTCTTACAAAAGTGGTAGGTATTATTTGATCCATCTGGTCCAAAACAAATTTGCTATGTACTGCACTTGTCACCAGCGGCGTCTTGAGTATGTATCTTGCTGATCGAATAAGCCTGGTGGCAACGAAGGTTTGACCTTGAGCTGCAGCAAATGGTTTGGTGTGAGAGGTTCCAAGTCATTTGGATCATTTGACACTGTAGTTATTGGTCGGCTGTTGAGAATTCCTTCAACTTCACACAGAACTGTTGAAAGGCTTTCGTCATCAAGTGTTTGTTGTTTTGTGATGGATAGCAGAATTTTCTTTACAAGCCGGATTAGTCTTTCCCATACTCCGCCATGATGTGCTCCGTAAGGAGGATTGAAAGTCCACTTCACATCCTTTTGCTGGAGGGCTTGTTCTATGTGACGGATATGTGAACGTCTTCATCTTCATTTGTCATCTTAAGGTAGGTGACAACACCGTATCCAATCTCGCTTGCATCACTGAAATGGTGCAATTGTGCAGATTTAATGTGTCCATAATTCTTTGGTTTGATAGATCGATCAATCTTGAAGCTTTCTATCTGCTTTAATCCCATGAGCCATCTTTGCCACTGTTTCTTGAGAGCCTCCGGGATTTCTTCGTCCCACCCACAATTGAGTTTGCACAACTCTTGTAGGACATGCTTTGCAGTGAAAGAAATCCAAGTGGGTCATACACAGAGCAGACTGTTGAAAGGATGCCTCTCCTTGTGGCTGGTTGAGATTTTAAGCAGACTTGAAACCTGAAAACATCTTCCTCCACATGCCACTGTATCCCTAGGGCTCTTTCTATTGGAAGATTGTCTTGGGTCTCTAAGTCCTGGTTTTTTACCTCTTTGGGTTTTTCACTCTTTAGGATGGAGGCCAGCACAGTTTTACTGTTGCTTGTCCACTTTGTCAGATTAAATCCTCCCTTTGCACAAAGATCCTTGAGTTCTTCACATAACTTCACAGCTTGATCAGCAGAAGCGACAGATTTTAAGCAGTCATCAACATAGACATTTCTTCCGACAGTGTCAACAGCTTCTGCAGAGAAATCATCTTTGTTGTCTTCAGCGGTTTTAGTGACAGCATAGGTTCCACAACTTGCTGATGAAGTGGCACCAAATAGATGTACTGTCATCCTGTACTCAGCGAGAGGTAAACTGACATCTCCTCCTGGCCACCAAAGAAAGCGAAGATAATCTTGATCGGCAGGAGCCACCTTGACCTGATGATACATCCCCTCGACATCAGCATGAAAGCTATCTGTTCTTGTCTGAATCAAATGAGCACACCAAGTTGCGTGTTGGTAAGATTGGGACCCTGAATAAGCTTGTCATTTAATGAATATCCTTGATAAGATGCAGAACAATCGAACACTACACAAATCTTGCCCTTCTTTGGGTGATGAACCCCATGATGTGGTATGTACCACACCTTTCCACTTTCAGGTTTGAGCTGCTCTTGGGGCAGTAGCTGAGCGTGACCTTTTGCTATCACAGCCTCCAAGAATGTTTTATATTCATCATGGAAAACTTTGTTCCTTTTGAATTTCCTTTTTAATGATTCTGCTCTCTGCTCTGCAAGTTTGCGATTGTTTGGCATCATGATATTCTTCTGTTTAAATGGAAGTTCAAGCTGATAATGTCCATCTTTGATTTGAGCTGAATCTGACATGATCTTTAAAAATTGTTTGTCTTCAACTGACATCTCTTTCTTCTCATCACAACCTTTTTCTGGAAAGTCATGATTGTATTGCTGCATCAGCAGCTCACCTAAATCTGTCACTGATATCCGATTAACAACAGCACATGAAGTATTCTCAGATTCAGTGGTTTCCTGATTCAGTCCATTCACAACCCAACCTAGGACTGTCTTAACAGCAAAGGGTCCTCCATTTTGACTGTTTATTATTTTCCACGGCTCCATTAGCTTTGGTGCATTTGTTCCTATAAGCAACCCGATTTCACAATCCAGTTCAGGCAACTTAATTTCTCTTAGATATTTCCATTTATTTATGGTCTCTTGAGTGGGAATGTGCTCTTTTCCAGCAGGAATTTCCTCTTGTGTGTAGACTTTAGGCAGCTGATAAAAATCATTGCCTTCGATGCAACTCACTTCAAGACCTTTGACAAAGGAAGTGTCAATCATTTTCTCCTGACCCATTGTTTTTATGAGGATTTTTGTTCTCTTGGCTTTGGCATGCAAATCTTGTTGAAGGGCTTCATTACAAAAACTTGCAGTGCTTCCCTGATCCATAAATGCGTAAGTCTGCACAGTCTGGTTCGAGTTTGACAACTTTATTTGAACTGGGATAATTGGTAGGGTTTGTTGACCACCGGCCCCAGTGTGGTTTCTGCCATTTAAAGAGACTAATGCACTGCTTACAGAAGCTGCGTGGCTGTATTTATCAGAGTTGTCTTTTTGTTCAATCCTTTTCTTGTAGATGTGCAATATTGTTGGATGTTTCATTGAACAAACTTCACATTTCATTATTTTCTGACAGTCTTTGCTTCGATGTCCTTTCGTTAAACGGCCAAAGCATATTCCTTGTGCTTTTAAGCAGTCAATCTTTTCATTGTGAGATTTTTTGTTCATCTTACATGTTTCAGAGGTGTGTTCTCCTGCACAAAATACACAGCGCTTCTGAACAGTAATGCCTTTATGGTCTGATTTGATGTTTTGGAAAGGTTTTTGCTCTTCATTGACTCCTGGGCTTGTCACAGTAATAAAACTACTTCCCTTATAACCATGAGCAGGCTTATTGCTGGGTGATTTGCAGAGGTGGGGACTCGAGTCACATGACTTGACTCGAGTCAGACTCGAGTCGCATATTTTTGGACTTGAGACTTGCTTGACTAACATTGATAAAAGACTTGACTTGACTTTGACTTGGTATTCATGACTTGAGACTTGACTTAAGCTTGAGACAGATGACTTGAAAGGACTTGACTGTTTAAAATTAAATATTTGCGTTTGTTTTTGTAGTGAGATATTACGTTTGGTTTTTTCGAAAAACGTGATTGGGTGATTATAGCGCCGTGCGCGCAAACCTGGAAACCCACTAGACGGCAGGGGTGTCAGTTAACATGGCAGCGGCTAGCGTTACTCCAAAAATAGTAAAGTTTGGATTCAAGGATTATGTTGTCGATGACGCTAATAAGAAGAGAACAGCGGTATGCAGGGTCTGCAGCATAAAGATCAGTGACACGACCACCAAAACATCCAACTTCATTCGTCACTACAAAAAAAAACACAGAGAAAGGTGCGTGAATGTGTTGTGTTAGCTAGGAAGCTAACGTTAAGTTTAAGCTACGTTAGACTTGGTTTCAAATCGATTAAGCATTGCAAAGAGAATACAAAACGGTAAATGAACCGCCAAGGGAGTTACTGTAAACTGTTGAATAATGTAGTTCATCTACTTTTAGTAGTTTGTTTAAATGTTTTAATTATGTTGTTTTTGTTTGTAGAAGTGCATCATTCCTTGATTTATTGTAAAATGAATCTGAACTTTTTGATCTGTTATGATGATAAACTGAAGCAATTTCTAAATTAACCCAATTAACTGAGTTTTAAATCGTCCTACTTAGTTTATAAGGAAATTATGAAGAGGAACAAATTAAATGATTTTCAAATGATATCTATGTAGGTGCTGATGCTGTTGGCGGTTCTAGTGTTAACAGAAATTTAAATTAAATATGTGTAATGGCAAATGCCATATACGATTTTCTTACCTGGAATTCTGCCTTTTTTAACAGACTTTTTGATTGAGTCCTAGGAGTCCTAGTTGTCTGCAGTTCTAGGGTTAATATGAATCTAATATGATTGTCATCGGTCTAAATTAGATTTCAAATGATTAACTGTGTATGTAATGAAGATCATAGTGTGGGTTAAATCCATTTTAATAACCACTGTCTTTTAACTGATTTAAATGCGGAAACTGGGCTTATTCATCAG